TTATGGAATCTTCCACATCTGAGTGGAACTCTGACGGGCTCACAGCTCATGTGAGTCCACCCGGGAGGTGAGTGTGCTGTTGGACGAAGTACCATCACTACTCCGGACGTTTCTCTGCTATCCTACGGAGACGCTGAAATGGTAATGTTGAAAGAGAACTCTACACCGAAGCTGAGATATCTTCTGCAAGGTAAAGGGTCGATTTCCACTACCGAAGTGTACCGAGGGTGAGCTGGGTTCGGATGGAGGGTGCCGTTCGTTATCAACACATTTTCCCTCACACATCCATCTCTCTCCATTTAAACTTCATTTTCCCATCTTTAAACTTCTATCTTGCCAGTAATTAGGTGCAGATATCTTCAGAAATGTCTGTTGGTTTCAAAAGCTGCAAAAGATAATCATGGCCGCATGATTTTCTCATGCAAGGGTCATTAATTAAGCTGTGTTATTGTAATCAATTTTGCCAATTAATGTAAGTGTGTGATGTGTTTTAAATCGTTTCTAATTAAACGACTCACTGTTGTGGTGGGTCAAAGATAAAACACGTCTCTGTCCACATTTAATATTCAAAACACGATATTACTCAGTCCAGAAAAATGAAAGAATCTGTTTAAATTATGGATAATATCACCACCACCAAGGTGCTCCACAGAACAACACAGGAAGTCCTTCAAACTTTTCAACTCCTCCCCCTTTCTGCACATTGGACAATAAAATGTATCCTGCACCACAATAAACACTTTACTGCTTCTGTCTGCGCCTGTTTAGACCTTAATTGTTGTTATTTTTTATATTCTGTTATTTTTATATCTTGTGTGATTCCTTGTGTCTGTTCCTTTGTATTGAAAATCTGGCACAACAATTTCCTGGGATCAGTAAAGTTCTTATCTTTATCATGCCATGAACCTCTTTGTTGACAAACCCGGTTCTGACCCAATGGACGCATCTGACCTCATTTTAGTTTCGGTGAGGTGTTCAGGCGCCCTCAGATTTCAAAAGGAGAAGGTTGTATATCGACCTGAACAGAACCGAAACTCAAACTGTGACCCGATTATAGGCTGAAGAGGACTGTCTGACAAAACCAGAACCTGGACAAAACTATGTAGTCAGAACCATAGACCCAAATAGAATAAGTCAGAACCAGAGACCCCAAAAATCTTTAAACAACATTGATGGCACCTCCTGCAAGTGTTAGTCAGTTCTGGACGCCTGCAATGACCCGTCAGAACTGACCAGCTGTTTAAACACACTGGATAGAAACCTGACCTTTGAAATGCTGTCACATCCCGACAGAAAGGTTCTGGTACTGGCCCATTTCAACGACAACAGATTTAACCCTAAAGACCAAAAATACAGAACCAATCAAGTTTGTCTTGTTCAAACCAGTACAAAACCACAAAACAGGCCCAAACCAGAACTGATCAGTTATTTAATATCAAACCAAACATTAGAACTCCACAGAATCAACTGGAAACTCCAAAAATATATTTTCAGCCTGAATCATTCAGTAAGATTCGTCTTACCAAACTTCAGCTTCTCCTCCCTGCCTAAGGGGGCCTGTGGGGGTCTGCTGACCATCCTCTGGTCCATGAGGTACAACTCAGTGGGTCTGACCCAGTTTTGAGTTGATCTGACTTGGATATGCTGTGGTCTGACACCCTGTCCTCCAGTCCAGAGAACTATGTGGTCTCCTCCTGATTCAACCATGTCGAGTGAAAAAATGGTCACAAGATCCTGAGCCAAACCCGCCAGCCCCCTACCCCTCCTACCCCACCTCCTACCCTCTCTTTGTGCTGCAGCGTCTCCCCACACTGCTCTCAGGATTTTCCCACGCTGCTTCACTTCTTTCATCAGTTCCAACAGTTTCTAATTAAATCACAACAACAATCAGAGTAAAGTTACATTCAGGACCGGATGATGGTGCTAAAGACTTTACCATAAACAGAACCTGCAGGAACTAAAGTCTCCAGGAACTTAACCTACAGGAACTAAAGTCTACAGAAACTAAACCTACAGGAACAGTCTACAGGAATTAAAGCTATATATAGCC